ACACTTCCGTGGGGAATTTGAGCTTGTAGCGTACCCAGAAGGCCTCCTTGGCGGATCTCAACTCGGTGTCCCCGAGAAGGGAATCGAGGTCCTCAATGGCGACTCGCGAGCGGTCCTGCTCGGCGGTCTTGTAGTACAACGAGACCGAATGCCAGGCTCTCCGCAATCTGGCCGCTTGGATCTGAGCTTCCGCTCCCAACTGGATCTTCCCAAGCCAAGGTTCCACCTTGGCCTCGGCATCGAAGAAAAAGCGGAATTCTTCCAAATTGGCGATGCCCGCCTTGGAAAGCGCTCCCACTACCTCCGCTGCCAATTGAAAATTCTTGCCGAGCCTGTCCAGGCAATCGGCTCCGTCTGACGGGACAAGGGAAGTCGCCATGCGATTTCCAGGTGTCAATAATTACTTGGGCCTCAACTGACTCCCCAAACACATGAGTGGGGGGGGAACGGAGGGGACACATGACCGAAATCAACCTAACCCTCAACTGTTAAAAATTGCATGGAGGATGACCCCTGGCGTGCACTCGCCGGTAGCTCCGCATGCCGCGACCGACGGCCGTACGGGAGGTAACGCCCCCCGGCCTCCTCCCTGGTATCCCCAGGGTGCCTGCCACGGTGCATGGTAAATCGGTTGAAACTGTTTGAAAAACGAATGCCACATGGTCGACTGGCTATGCTCCGTGACTCATGCATGTCGAGGCAATCCACTGCCTGGTACTGCCGCTCCCGTTTTCCACACGGAAGAATGTGTCAGGCAAATGCCCCGCGGCACTCCTATGGCGTGCAAAATGGGGGACTAAATTCGGGCAGCCCGAATCCGGCGCCCATGGCCAAAATTGGCTCACTGGGGGAGGAAACTAGCCGGGCACTTGCTCAGGCAAGTCCGGCAAAAGCGCTGCTCCCATGCGATGGCCTCGAACTTGTCCGAGGTGGTCAGCGGATAGGCCAGACGGTCAGCTCGGCGCGCCGCCTGCTTGTGCTGGCATAGCGGGTATCCCTTGGCCGTGCTGATGTGGACCTGGCTCCTCGCAGTGGCCATGAAACCGGTGCACTCCGGCTCAGACGCACCTGCTGATGAGCCCGCCAGCGCCTGGTGCACCCATCCGGCCAGCTTGCGGTCCTGCAGGGTCTTGGTGATTTCCACATCGCGGCATCTCCTGATCTCCCCCGCCGCGTCCGCCAGGCTGATTCCCTTCAGCATCGCCAGCCACATCGCCGCAGCAAGAGCGGCTCGGTGACGCCCCGCCATGCAGTGGACGATGACGACGTCTCCGTGATAGAGCGAGCGCCGCACCAGGGGCCACACCCTGTCCCAGTCCTCCTGCCGTCGGTCGGCGTGGGCGATGGCGAAGTACTCCACGTGGGCCCCGGACAAGGGCACACCTTGCCGCTGGGCCAGCCTCTCCGGGAAGCAAACCACCTGGAGGCTGCATGCTGGAAAGGCTGCGGCCGTGACGGCCGTGGGGATGCCCGCCAAAAAGAGGGCTCCTCCCCGCACGTTGTTGTAGAGCAATGGGGTCTGGGCGGACTTCCCCCGCACGGTCGCCAACCGGTCCCATTTGCTGTCAGCTGGGTTCAAATCCAGGCACTCCGGGATCTCCAAGAAGTTGCCCGGGAGCTCGGCTGGTTCTGCCGGGCGCCTGGTATCCACCGAGGCAGGAACTTCGCCGACCTCCGCATCCTCGACCTCCACAACGCGGTTGGCTGCTGCGGCCTCGCGGAGCTCCTCGGCCGACGGTCTGGATGACATGGGCCCGGCCGGGGCGGCGATTGGCAGCGGCGGTGGCAAAATCCTTCGGCGCTTCTGAGCCGGCGCCTCCGATGGCGCCCCTGCGGGGCGGGTCGCCCCCACCTCCACAGGGTCAGCCGGCACAGGCAGCCCCAGCTCGCGAAGCTTCGCCTCCGTCATGCGCCGCTTTGCTCGGCACTCGCTTGCCGGGTGGCGTCCTCCACACGCCCTGCCCGTCTGCTGCAACATCGCGCACAAGTGCTCCCTTGCGCACGGGTCCTGGCGGCATTCGCCTGTGTTGAAGTCCGGGCACAACGCTGTACCGTTCTTCAGATGCCCCGTGAGGAAGATCTCGCCCAGCCTGGCTGGCATGGCCCTGGCCGATGGAGCCGGCTTCCTCATTCGCTCACGGGCGCTGTGCACGAGCGACTGGCTCAGGGAGAAACGCCGCTTCAGCGCCGTGGTCTGCGGTGCCTGGGCCCAGATCACCTCTGTGTCCCCTCGGCAAGCCTGAGCGGCCTTGATCTTGGCCTCCTCATCGGCTTCGGCGACCTCCTCCTCGGTGACCGTCTCCCAGGCCTCGCAGTCCGCAACCTTGGCCGCCACGAGGAAGGCTCTCATCTTGGTACGCATGGACAAGGCGTACTTTCCGCCACTGTAGTGGAACGGCATCGCAACACGCTCCTCGACCTTGTCCTGCCAGTCTCCCAGGGAAACGATCTCCGCATCCTGAAGGCGGATCAAAGAGCCCACCGTCGGCAGCAATCTCCTCCAGGAATAGCTGGTGAGCTGCTCGAGGGGCTCCACCACGCCATGGAAAAGGTGCTGAGTCACTCTCTGCACCTCCCGGATGGGCCACGCCTGGCCAGAGGCTGGGTGAAAGCAGATGCCGCACTTGTCGTGCTGCTCCGGCGCTAGCCCCTGATAGTCCTCCAGCCACTTGTCGGCCCAATGCCAACCGTTGGAGAAATGTGGGACTGCTTCCCTTTGCGGCAGTGGCCGTGGAAGAACTCCCTGCTGACCTTCACCGGCGTGGACAAGCACAAGTGCTTGTAGCGCAGGCAACCCGAAGCCACGAGCCACGACGACAGCGCTGCTGTCCAAGCTGGATCTCGGGCTTGCTGCATCTCGATGATCCGGCCCTCCAGGGTGAGCAGCATGGGCGGTTCCACCACCACAGCCTGGGACCTCGCCTTGCGCACCTTCCCAATAACTTTGGGGGGCTTCAGGCGGTCCAGCTGCCACTGCAACCTGCCGTTGTTGGACAGCCAGCGCAATGACTGCAGCGCTCGCGATGGCGACATAGCCTGCTCAAGGAAGGCGTGAAAGTCCAACTCCTCCGGGTCCTGCACGCCCCTGGCTGCCAGGAAGAGCGAGAGCTCCTGGAAAGTCCTCACCGCGTTCAGGATCGTGGTCGCCTCGGACTGGGTGACTCGCTCCTGAGCCAGCCTCCGAACCGCCTGCTGCCAGTCGGCATAGCGATCCGGGTTGTCGTACCTCCGGGGCCGAAGGACTCCCAGCTTCATGAAGGCCTCCGTCAGCAGGTTGACCCTGCGGCCCACTGCTTCGGCGTTGTCCGGGTTCTGCCTCAACCGCAGGCCCACGTTGCTGGTGGGGAGCCGCACCGCCGGCCGACGGAGGGTCGATGGCCCCACCGGCGTCACTCGCCAGGGGTCCACCTCCACCACTGCCGCACCTGCCGGGAGGAGGTGGGCCTGTTGCTCCGCCCGCACCCACGCCCATTCAGCGGCGACGAAGTGGCCACCCGCGCGGACCGCATCCTCGAAGGCCTCAAAGGCGAAGCCGAAGTCGGCCGAAAGGCTCGAACGTTGGCCTCCTGGACACGAGACATCAGCCCCTCGCCAGAGCCGCCCGGGTCGCCCCCGGAGTGCTCCATGGCTTCGGTGGCATAGCGCCCAGGAGTGGCATCACCGCGAAACGCCATGGCTAAGAGCAGTGCCCCCCAGCGTAGAGCCTTGGCAGCAGCGGATGGGGCAGGCTTCGCATTGCTGGATGCCACATGAAGCGCACACAGAGTGAGTCCTGCATCCGCAGTAGGCGCAAAGCCCGCCCAGAGGGAGGTTCCTCCTGCCCTCGTCCAGCCACCCACGGAGAAGCCTCCCCGCTGTGGCTCTGGCCAGGGAGTCGCTCTCCCTGGGCCATGGCTCGGTCCACCTCCGAGCGCCCAAGCTCCATCTCCTCCAGGTCCCCATGAAGCCCCTGAAGGACACGAAGGGGAGGTCGCCAGATTCCACCCGGCCCGCAATGGCGGAGACATACATCGGGATGATGTCCTGGGCGCGGAGGCCACTGCCTGCTTCAGCCACCATGGCCTCAGACAGGAGATCCTCCTCATAGCACCCATGGTAGGCGGCCCAAGCCTCCTCTGCAGATACGCCTTCTTGAACCAAGACTGCACGCCGGCACCAGGTGCCAATGAACGGGAACTTGAAGCCGCCAAGGGACCCGTCACATCTCGCACACTGGGCATCAATGCAGGGCGCAAATTGCAGGTGGGGTATCTCCCCACTATCAACCAAGGGCAGGGGAGCTTGCACGAAAGGGGCATGCAACACTTCCACAGCCGAAAGCCAGAGCATCCGGGCCTCGCCATGCTTCCCCTGCTCCAGCAAGTTGCCCACATGGCGCTTGAAGTCGAGGTAGGCGCCTGTGGACAGGATAGGACGATCCGTGTGCACGGCAAAGTCAACTCCTGGAACTGCCAACATTCGACAAGTAACACTTGCCGAACCCGCAAACCAGAAGTTAAAATTTAGCCAGTTTGGATCATGCTTGAGCCAAAAGGCCCCGCATGATCCAATACTCTCCTTGCAGAATGAAGCCTGTAAACCCAAGCCTTCCAACCTGATACAGGATTAAAATGTGTGTGTGCTTGTGCTTGTGATTTTTGAGGATACCCTTTTTGGAGTGGTTCTAGACTGGAACCAACAGACAGAGCCATTTTTGCTGGTCCCCTTGGCACACATGCACAGCCAGTGCGAGGGGAGGTTCATTTGGAAGGCGTGGCATCTTGGATGCGATCAAAGGCCCTGCATGCGAATGTAAGATGTCGCATTCCCCTTTTTATTCGGTTGTCTAAAGATTGGAGGGCAACTTTGTGCGTGGAATTGAGAAGGATGGCCAAAGGAATCTAACTAAACATGTCGGGGTTGAACATTTGAAGAAACACCCAACAATGTAAAACATCTGACAGCTGAAAGAGTTTTGCGCATGGCTTCACAATGCGCATAAGTACGTTCCAGCGAGGCACGTCCTTGTCCTCATAGTAGGGAAAGCCCGCCTTGAGACCCTCGGCATACTCGCAGGGGTAGGAATTCTTGGGCCTCAGCTTTGCGCCACTGACTTGCATAGTTCAACCACGGAGACTGGTACTGCAATAGCAAGCGCGAAAAACCACGGCCTGTGCACCGGGGAACATGGGTTACCACTTCAGAATCAACTGTCCAGACTCATATGGATATGGGTGTGCCTTATTTTGGTGGAACCCCCCTAAAATGGTTTCTGTCAGGGCTTCTTTTTAAAACAAAGCAAAGAGGGCCCCCCCCCAAAAAAAAACAAGAAAAACAAACACACAAACATTTGTATGGGTGGTTCCGCGTAAAAGCACATGGCCTCGCACAGATTCCATGGCTCTCATGAGTTTAGATCGGAATGCGACCTTCGTATTCACAAGGTAAACCCCGGGTGATTGATGCCAAACAAAATGGGGGACGTGTCGAGGAATATGTAGAGGGGCTCTTCGTTGCTGCTTCTTTCGAGGGGTTTCCCGCCGCCAATTGTTTTGCTTGCACCTCAGCAGCAAAAGCCGGGCTTTCCACAATAAGTTCCACCTCCCCCCCCTCCGCCGCGGGAAAAGCATGCAGGCAAATCTGGCTGTCCGCCCACGCACCCAGAAATGGACCCAACAAGGCGACACCAAAGCGGGGTTTGCTTAATTTATATGTCCTGGCTAATGGATTGCAAAAAGGCTAATCAAGCCAGACCCCCCGGGCGGAGAATCCCAGCTTCTATCCGGAGGGATGTCAGCCCGACCCCGGATCCATCAAGAAGGCGGTGTTTGCCCCAAACATATTGAGATGGGACATGCCTTCTTTCTCTCAACCAAGGATTCTGCTGCAAACTCGCTTCCCATATGTTAATCCAGACTGGTCGCCATCCTTTCATTCCCAGGGAACCACTCCGTGGAATCCTCCGTTTAGCCAGCAAGTTGATATTGGCCTCCCGTCGGTCGTCATGCTCCAAGGCACACCTCCTCAAAGTCCACAGGTGGATCGCACGGGGCAATGGCGTCCTATGCGCCACACGGAGCAGAGGGACTTGACCATGGCTGGCGGGAAAAACACACACACACACAGAGAACACATGATGCCGGCAGGCAGAAGCGGGCTCCAAAAAGCATAAGCGGTTTTCTCGAGAACTGAGTGACTTTGTTGTTTCCAGAGCTGCCGGGCACCATGGAGTCTTGACAGCGAAAGTGTGACAAACATACTTCTGCTATATGGAGACAACGCTGCTACAAATGTTCCATACCCGAGATCTGAAATAAGGGACCCCAACTGAAGCACCTGCGGGTGTCCTTTTCTGAGGCTACAAACTTCTATGCAATTTCAAGGGAAATCAAGAGGAAACCTGCTGCATTCTGAAACGCCACTAGATTCAGAACGTTCGGCCCCACTCCTCCTCCTTCAGCGGAAAGGTGACGGGGGACTTGGCCCCAGGGTTCACCTTGCCGAAGAGCACGTCCGCGATGCCATCACCCGTGGCCTGGCCTGCGCATGCGGCTTGGCTCTGCAGTGTCTTGCGCAAACCATCGCCTGGCAACCCTTTTGGGGGGATCCGAACCAACAGGAGGATGTTTAAACTAGTTTCATTCTGTTGGTGTTTAAACTTACTTGAACAATTTCTGCCCAAGCTGGTTTTCACTCATGCAGAAACAAGAAATCCTCCGCACGCTCTAGTCGGTCCGGCTCAGCCGTGGCAGGCATTCCTTTCCCGCCTGTGGTGATCACCACTGTGTGCGTGTGTGTGTGTGTGTGTGTGTGTGTTGTGTGTGCGTGTGTGTTACCAGCTTCTTCGGTATGTGCCAGCATGGTACATGGGCCGAAGCCTTTCTCCGTCGCTTTCAACCGCGATCCAGAAGGAACCGGCTGCTAGAATTTGATTGCTAGGCGTTCGCTATTCTTCTGCCAGCTGGTCTGTCATCCCCTTTCAGCTAGATGCCCCAAGGGGCATGTTTGGCCCCTGCCTGCGAGAAACACGGCCACCGCAGCATCCACCTTCTCGATCCACGGCATGACAATGGTGCCTGAAAGGGAAACGCAGAAAAGACCAAGACCGATTGTGTCGATTTAATTTCATGGGACACCAACAGATCATAGAGGAAACCCGTTTTCGGAGACTCGACCACGCATGCATTATCATGAAAATGAACAAATGGAAGACAGGTTACCACTGAGCCCTCGCTCAAAACAACAGCCTCTTGGGTGCGAGTACCGCAATTGGGGCGGGTGCATGCCTGAGGCGAAACCTCGCGTCGCAGTTTTCCCCAAAAGCGTTCGGAGCGACACACGCTTCCAGTTGGCCCTTGGTCCTTCAAACACTCTTGACATCATGCACGAGTGCATGGTGTAGGCCTTTTCTCAAAGGGAAGTTGAAAGAGCAACTAGTCAAGAAATGGTCTGGCCGGTCACCAAGCAGGCGCGAAACATGAACAAACCTAAAGCAGCAAACCAACAGCATACTGGAGAGGACTCTGACCACTTGGTGCACCCACAAGTGACATCGCTTGAATTGAGCGAAAAACACGTCCAAATCAACAAAAGGTCGATGCAGTGGAAGAAATCATCCTAGGAAATGAACAGTAGTTGTTTGGCACCATATTACCTGGATGCTCAAAAACAGTATTGCTGATTCGGTCAACTGTAACATAGTCTTGGAGGAGGCCCCCGCCACATGCTTCCCAACGTGTTGGAGCCTCAACCCTGGTCGTCCCCAGTGCCAACATGTGTCTCAGGGCCGGCTTCTCACCCGCCTGGGATCATACTCACCACCACGCTGGGCTTTGACAGGCGTGATGTCAGCTCCACCACCTAGACCATCCGCTGTAAAGCGCGGGGCGTCAGGTCAGAACATGGATTCTAACAAGCTGGGACTATGGTGTTGTTGCATTTTTGCGGGTAAGGCCAAAATGAAGGCAGCTATTCTTGAAAACACCCTGTAACTATGTGCCATAACCACTGGGTACTGGCGGTTTAGCGCTTGGCCGGGTTCGATTTGCTTTTGGTGAAATAGTCGCTCGCCTGACATTGATTTGCTGCCAAGAAAGGATTCGCTGAGGTCCAAGTTATGCCATTGCTGAGGCACCAGTCCAGTCGTCCCTGCTTTCGTGACGGTCCCCTCAATAGAATGAATCTGCATCCACTCAAATCTGCCTGAAGGGTAGCCCCAGGTGCGGCCAAGCTTCAAATGGCTCTTGGTCGACGGACAGGCTTTCGCCTCATGACGTTGATGCCCCCTGCTTTGAACACATCGGCATCGGTCATTTCCACTGCGCAAGCAGAATCGCAGGACCAGTTGACATCACACCCCAACATCCTGACACAAGATTTTAGCAAAAGGAAACACGTTGGTGGAACTTAAGGGCAGCCCGTTGCAAAGCAACAAATCATCATGTTCGCTGAAACAAGCATATCCAGTTCCCCCCTGACGGGCGAGTTCAAAAGACTTCGGAAGTTCCAGCCAATGGTTGCAGGCCTGCCTTCACGGCCCTCACTCGCTTCCCCCCCTCCATTCCAATTTCAGGGTCCTAAATCTGGGTGTGTCGTTTTAAGTTAAGGGTACCCTCTTTTTGGTTGGTTTTAAAGGGAAACCAACAGGAAAACCATCAGTTCGGGGTCCCCTTTAAAAAAAAAGAAAAAAAGAAAAAGAGAGAACCCGCAAACGCAACTCCAAAGAAAACTCAAGGACCGTTCGCACAGCAAAGTTTCAACCAAGGGACATGCCACCAAAGAGTTCCTCAGCCCAATACCTTCCTGAGGTCTTGGATGAAAAGGCCCGCCTCTTTGGGGTAGGGATTCCTAGTTAGATAAAGCATGGAGCCTCAAAAGCCCGCAATGTTGTTTGCAATCTCCATTTTTTCAAGACCCCCTGCTTGCTTTCCTTCCGATCACCCATCCTTGTCGAGATAGCACAACCGTTCGGGAAACATCAAGGGTGCCAAGGGTGGCAAGCAGCCTCAGAAAACACCATCAACATCAACATTCAAACTGAGGAGGTACTTGCCTGACAAATTGCCTGACGCGCCCGAGATCTTCGAGTCTGGGCAGTGGGCGATCTGCGTTCTCCTGCGAAGTCGTAGCTGCGCAGACCACCACCAGGTCCGCGTTCTCGGCGGCCGCCAGGGCCGCCTGTTGGCCAACCACACGGGCTGACGGGCTGACGGGCTGACGGGCTGACGGGCTGAGAGCGGCCCATTGGGAGTGGCGCTGGCAAGGGAAACATACTGTGGATGGACGAATTCCTGCACCAATTGGAAACCATAATTTGTTGGCATTCACAGGAGAATCATCATTCCAGGGTTTCTTAAGTGGTGCAGGATTTTGTCCATCCACAGTAGCGATTGACAGCAAATCAAGGCCTAGACTTCCGGAACATGCCGTCCTGCCGCAAGCCCCTACATTTAGTTGCGCATTCCAACGTCAGGCTGCAAACTGGAGGAGCACCAAGAGAGAGGCAGAGCCATTGACACAGGCTGAACTCACATTCAAGAGAAGCGTCCAGACATCTGCAAACAATACGTGCAAAGCCTTAACAAAGAGAGCTACATCATACTGAGCTCGTTTTACCGACAGGTGAGCTTGCTATAACATACGTAGATACGTGCTTGCTAACTTGCGGGAAGGGGACATGTGTTTTTTCTCATCCCCCCTGGGCAAACGCAAAGGAAAAGCCACTAACTTCACCACGGGACATGCTGGAGACCTCAGTCTATGTTATTTGTTCTTGTCGAAGGGAAGTTAGGTAGAAGGGCACCTAGGAACAAATGCCAACCAATGAGAAGGGAGCCTTAGCGCAAACCCAAGGAAACCAAATTGAACATGGAAAGGGGAGATAAACAAAGATATATGTCGTTATGTAGTGAAAGAGCCCCGCACTGGCCAATTGAAGGATAGCCGAAGGGCCCAAAGCACCAAGGCTAAGCCCCACTTAAGTCATTCAGCCCTCGAGGCTTATAGGGTTTGCTCTTTGAAAGGCTCCAACCGGACAGGAAAGAGATATGGGGCGCAAGGTGATCGGCATGTTTCTTCTTGAAGATGCGCTTTGGTGCTTGTTTGGCTGATTTCGACCGGACGATGGAAAACAAGCCATGGCAACTGGGGAATCCAACGCAAATGGACCTGTGCCAAAAGCAGTGCCTTGTTTTGGAACATTGCGCCAGGAAATCTTGGCAATTGTCCGGACAAGCAAACGGCGAGCTACCGACATAAGACCCAGCTGTTGCAAGGCCTCCTGTTTTGGACACATGCCCACAATAAGGGCTGATCATAGGAAATCTGCAAGATCCTCGTCAAAAGTATTTCCTCCCCTCCCAGAAGAGATTGTGGACTTGAATTGCGAGCCGGGCTTAGCTATTCAATCCGTCGATATTTTGGCGCTTGACCAGGATAAAACGTGTTCACCATTTGTTCTGCAGCATGTGTGTGTGTGTGTGCGCGCAGCGAGGGGTGCACATCCATTTCGGGCCGGCACCACTTTGGACCTCAAAGATAGGTTCTCAAGGCATCTGGCACACCCAAAACGGGGGCAAACAGGGCGAGAAAGGGTAAATTGAACCACGCCAGCTCCTCTTTTTGAATCCAACCATTCTAATTCTCGAAGCCAAGCATGCGGGAATACATAGTACTAACATTATCCATGCTTGGTGGATTCCTTTTGGATCCAAATGGGGTGTGTCTTTTGTCGAGGGTGCCCGTTTTTGGGTTGGTCAAGGGGGAAGCCAAGACCTGGACTGGGCCCCGTGGCCCCACGTCGCCTCCACGTCGTCCACCAGGACCGCGGACACTGTGCAGCCGGCCGCCTCGCAGGCGTCTTCGATGCCCTCCTGCACAGACCTGGCAAAACACCTCCCACCAGTTCACATGGAACCTGACAAGGGGGTCCTGGAAGACAACTTTCCTTTTGATGGTAATATATGGTAATTGGTGGGAGGGCATTCACCCTGAGGTCCGAAAGAAACAAGGGGGCCGGCAAAGGGGGAGAGAAAATCAGAGCCAAACAGCCTGCGCCTGAGAAACGTCAGAGGTGGCCTGTTAGATGACTTTGGACGATGCCCGGCATATGTGGCTTTGCCAAGGTCGCTCTCACGCACTTTCCAACCCTTGGTATGGTAGCAACAGGCTTTGTTTTTTGCAGCACCTACTAAAAATGAAGAGAACCAAACAAAACAACTAAAGACATGCTAGCAACAGTGAAGTGCATGGCCTTGCAATCTCTTTTTGCAGATTGAACGTGGCCCTTTTCTGAGGCACCCTGAACTGCAGCCGTCCTGACTGCATGGGCCAAACAGTACCCAACTGTTGATTTACCACTAGAATGGGCGTTCCAAAAAGCTTTAAGTCCGGGCGTTCAGGGAGTGTGATAATTGAAGCAGTTGGGTGGATATGCAAAACGCTGATGCACAACATAGCCAGCTCATGCCAGTCACAAAAATGTTTACACCATACTTTGTTAATTGGCAAACCCTAGAAAGTCAAATCATAAAACAAAGCAACAAACCAAAAACGGAAACAGCCTGGAAGACGCAATGTGACCCATATGAGTCATTACTTAATTGGGAAGCGCAGCTTATAGCTTAAGACTGCGGGACGCCTTGGGATCATTGAACGTCGACCGGCGCTCAGCTGCTCAATGCCTTTCAGCGGACATGTCACTTACAGGGGCACTCCAGGTGTGCGGTGTGAGGGATCAGTAACGAACAGTAACAGAATTGCAGACCTCCGGTAGAGACACATTGCGCTTGAACATGTGCAGACTTTGGCTTGATTGAGTGGCAGCCCAACTCACCCAACCCGCTGGCCGGCCCATTTCTGGCCTAGGGTTCTCTGGGATCACACGGCCGGAGCCGCCCACGGTGTAGTAGTTCCCCAAGTCCCACCTTGCGGCCGGCCAATGCGAAGCGAGCCTCACCCTGACATGTGCTGCTTGCATCCCGGTCCCTCAATTAGATCCGGCCCAGCCCCAAGTCTCACACACACACACACAAACAGTTGCCCAGTAACACTGCTGCAGGAGAGCGCTTTTGGGGCCGATTCCATTCACCAAAGGAGTTTGTTGGCTGGAACGTCCACCAAGCTCCAACGGTTCCCTCAAAACAGACAAGCTGGATGTCACTTTGCAGGGGCTGGCTTGGAAGCAAGGTTTGGAAATTGTACTCTACATAGGCGCCCCGCTTGTCCAACATCGCGTCGATGTTGTTGTCTGCGTCGCATGCGGAGCCCAGGACAGCGATGGACTGAACGTCGGGGGAAATGGGCAGCACTTCCTTCCTGGGCCGCAGCGTGGATGTTAGCTTTGGCAATGCCGCGTGGTCTTGCCATCGCACCCACTGTCGGGCTCCAAACAAGCGCCATGTGATGGTTCCTGCTCCTGCTAAAGCGTAAGCAAACTACGAAAAGGTCGGCAAGCCAATTCTCCCCGATCGAAGCCATGTTCGGGACTGTTCTGGTGCCTAACGTTTTGGCCAATTGCCCGCGGCCCTTTCGGTGGGACCTTTCTGGGGGTTGGCACCCAGGAACCCAGCGACAAGAGGCGCTATGGCAAACATCGAAAACGTCGAAACGAGACAACCATGGCCCTGTGATTTCACCGGAGCAAGCCTCAGATTGCAAATCTTTGACAACACGGGATGGCATGCGTCTCATGGCAAATGGGCCAGAATGGGCCCATGCTGTGAAGCCAAGTGGGTTGGGTATCTTGGGGCGGCTTTCCAGTCCCAGAACCTCTATACACAGTTCCTGCCTGCCAGCAGCGAGCCCTCTCAAACCCCTCTCCAAGGCGCTTGTTCTTCAATAGCATCACCTTGGCCGGGCATGCCAGAAGTTGATCAAAACGTGCCAAACCTTGAGCGGAGAAAAAAAATAGCACAGCAAACGCCGTTGTGACCAGTCATCCGTGCAGCTGACTGGAAAGCCCACGCGTGTGACTCTTACAAATTGTGACCAACCCCAAATGTTGCATGACATGTGGGGGCATGACATGTGGGGCGGGGTGAGCACGATTCACAATTGAGGTCTGAAAGGGCCCTCGAGGGTTCAACTTCAGTCCTTGTCCAGTCCACCCTTATGACTCCAAATCCAAACTCGCATGTTTGCGAGTCAAGGATCTGAACAAACTTTGCAGGGTGCTTGTAATTTGGCATGTTAAAATTAAAAAGCGTAATGTGCACTCACTCTACTCCTATTGTTACTCTCGCGCTCTCTCTCTCTCTCTCTCTCGTTAAAATTGGTTGTTACTTTGCTTACAAGTGCAAGTGCTGTAGTGTTCAAACAAACAGTCAACCAATGTAGTCTGCAGCTGCCAACCTTTTGACTCATGCGGAGTAGTAAGCTCAAGGCCTGCGGTAGTGAACATACATGCAACAAGAGTGCAAAGTGAAGCATGTAGTTTGACACGGCCCCTCAGTTAAAAGGTCTTTGTAGTACCTTTTCAACTGAAGTGCAAAACATGGATTGACAGTAGTGATGAAAACCATTGTTGTTCATCAATTCTACTGTATTGGCAAAAGTAGTGACCTGCGCTCAGTAGTTCACGCTGTTCAGGTTCCAGCTCGATGTAGTGCGCTGGACGGAAGTAGTGAAGGCAGGCACTCGTTGTAGTAGAGCCCAGTTCTGGGTGCGGTAGTCTTGGACCTTCTGTAGTCGACTGTCCAAGGTCGCGTAGTAGTTGGTGGTGAAAAAGTTTGTCATGTTTGGAGCTCCCCGTAGTCGCTCATCGTCAATCTCGGGACATCCCGTAGAAAGCGGTGTAGTAGTGCTTTGTGGTGTTGTGTGAGGTTGGTCATTGTGAGTAGTGTGAATCCGTAGTATTGGATGCTTTTGCAGAGGATTGTAGTGATTGCTTTGTGTTGGTAGTCGTGGAGTTGGTCTCTGTTGTAGAGGTAGTGGAGTAGTTCAGGTAGTAGTAGTGGCATGTGGAAATTCCAAACGTAGTTGCACCTGAGGCTGTAGTTGTCAGTGAAGGTGGCCATGTTGTAGTTCACCTTGAGGATGGTCTGTGGCAGTGTTGTAGGCGGGAGGTAGTAGTTGTGTTGTACCGACATCATGTAGGAGATGTAGTCCCTTGTGAAGTGTAGAAATTGTCCTGAAGTGAGGTACCTCAGGAGTAGTGGTTGTTCAATCTGGAGTTGGATGATGACGTAGTTGGTGTTGTCGCCAGTTGTAGTGTGGAGTGAAGTCGTGTGGTAGTAGTGGACGTTGGCTGCTTCAGGTAGTGAAATGCTGAGCAGTGTGGAATTGTAGTGTGGCATCCGAAGATCTCCAGGGATGCAGTGAATGGGTCGTGTGTAGTCCAGTTGTGCCAGTGGAGTAGCTTGTTGTTGTGAGAGTAGTTGATACTCTTCAAGTGTAAATGCAGTGAAAAATTGCGTGTAGGGAATGTTGTTGGCCAGTGGTGGTGCAGTGGTTGTCTGGTGCTCAGTGATGTGTAGTTGGTCCATCACTGTGGTCGGGTTGTAGTAGACGGTGTTGCCAGGTGTAGAATGGTTGAAGTGGTAGTTGAAGTCGTTGTAGGTTTGAGGTGGTGGAGTTCCATGGTCACTGGAGTCTGTAGTGACCGCCACCTCTGGTGTAGACGCCCTGTCGGGCGTAGGCGCATCTCCCATCGTAGCATCTGCAGTAGATGGAGCGGCCATGGCTGCAGTGGAATGCAAAATGTAGTGAAACGGGGCAAAACAAATGAGCCTAAGTAGTTGCTACCAGGCAGTCGGCGAATGCAGACATGCAAAACAAACAACTGTAGTGTTGACTCAAGCCGCCAAAAGTGCAAGTGAGAGTACATGTAGTTACTGTTACTTACATACCAAAAGTGTCGTGTTACATGTAGCTACTTACATACATGAAATGTCCAAAGTCGTTGTTGTTGTTGTGAAACTGCTGTGCTGGTCGTTCGTAGTGCTAGATGCGTATTCCAATGCTCTGGATGAGCCTGTGTAGTGTTTCTTTGCTGATGTATTTGGTAAACAAATCTGCGCTGTTGTGGAGTGTGTTGATCTTAAGGATTCTGATGATGTCGTGCTTGATGAGGTCTTGTGTGTAGAGGAATTTGAGGTCGATGTGTTTTGCTCGTTTGCTAGTGCCTTGTCGTGTAGCAATGCTCTTGCCTGCTGTGGAGTCTGTGTGGATGCGTAGGTTTAGCTTGCTGCAAATGTTGGTTTCAAGTAGGAAGTTTCTGAGGTGTAGTCCCTCATTAACTCCTGTGCAAATGGCGTAGAGTTCAGACTCTGCTGAGCTAAGTGCTATTGTAGCTTGTGTTCTGCTGCCAAATGCAACTGTTGTTCCTAGAAAGATGATGTTGAAACCTGAAGTTGATTTCCTGGTAGTAGGGCATCCTGCCCAGTCGGCATCGACATGAACGTCGAGATCCAGGATGTTGTTGGTGTTTGCTCTGAGTGTTGTTGTTGGTTCTATGGTGAATTTGTAGTGCTTGGTGCCGTGCAAGTAGCGTAGTAGATGTTTGACTCTCTTTTGTGAAAGTTCTGTAGGTGCTGTGAGGTCTCGTGCTAGTTCTTTTGTGGAGTATGCAATGTCTGGTCGTGTGTATGCTAACCATTGAAGTTTGCCAACAATTCTTCTGTACCTTTTGTGTTGTTCGTGGTCAAGTAGTGCTTCATCTTCTATTGTTGGTTTGTAGTGTGCAATTCCTGGAGTGTTTACTGAGTTGCAGTTGTTCATTCCAGACTCCTCGATCATGTTGTCGATGTAGGAGTCCTTTAGTCCAAGATTGCAGTAGTTGCCAAAGTGGTCGATGTTTCTTCCAAGAAATTGTTGTGGTTTGCCAGGTTCGAGGTAGCCGATGTGCTTGAGTAGTACCTGCTTCTGGACGGCCTCGAAAGTGGAGTCGACTGCGGTCTTGTCTCCAAGTACTAGTAGATCGTCCACGTAGACCATGATGTAGCAGTCGCGAGTCGCATTGGTGTAGACGTTGGGTTCTGACTTTAGTCTTACAAAGCTGAGCTTTTGTAGAACTTCAGCCAGGTAGTCCTGCCATGCTTTCGGTGAACTGCGTAGTCCATACATGGCTTTCTTTAGTCGCCAGATTTTGTCCTGTTGTGGACAAAGTTCTTTAGGTGGCCAAAGGTAGACGTCACGTTGTTTACCGTCGTGGTCTTTTGCGATGGGTGCGTGTAGAAATGCTGTAGAGACGTCACCTAGTCGCGCGATCCAGTTTGGTCGTGACATTTGTAGTGCGAGAAGTGTCCGGAGTGTCGTGAACATTGGTGTAGAGGCGTAGACGGAGTCTTCGTCCTCGATCTTCTCGGTGTAGCCTTTTGCGACGATTCGGCTTCGTACTCCTGGTCCTTTCTTTCTGTGTACCCATCTTGTAGGTATCGCTTCTCTGATGACGTTGTCGTCGACGGTAGACGCATCTACTTCGTCGTAGACGTCGTGTAGTTTCATTTGGTTTGACTCGTGTTTCATTCCTTCCAGTAGTTGTGTTTCGTCGTAACCTTCGTTGTCGAAGATTATGGGTTGGTCTTCTGAGGTGTCGTCGTTTGTGTAGGGAGTGATGGATTTTCCGTTGGGAAGTGTCACTGCGTTGATTTTCTGTCGTAGTGGTGGTGGTTCTTTGGTTGCTTGTTCCGTTGATCTGATTGTAGTGTCCTTTGAGGTCTTCTGTGCTTTAGTTGGTTGCATTACTTCTTCCGGAGTTAAACGTCGTAGTGTTTGTCGAGGTGGTGCTGGTAGTGGTGGATGTTGTCGTCCAGTTGGTGAAGTAGCCATAGGACTATCCGGTAGTGGTCGTGAACTTGACGTCGATGTGGACGGAAGTCGTGGAGGTGGTGTAGTGCGTTGTTGTTTTGTTGCGGGTTCTGCAACGATGTCGTCCGTCGCATTCGTTTGTTGTCCGAAGTCTTGCGTGGACCTTCTTTTCTCTGACGGTTGTAGTTGCGTATCCAACAGTGTTGCGAACGATGGGTTGTAGGTGTTCCGTCGTGGTGCCCATGGTGTGCCGGAGACTTTGTTCAACAGTGCGAGGTCGTATTTGAAGTCCGGTTGTAGTCTCCGTACTGTTCGTACCTTTTGTACGCCTGATTCCGTTGCGACGTAGTTTTCTCCGGTTTCGGAAACTTTTCCGAGCCAGATGCATTTCTGCATCCGTAGGTCTGCTTTCGGAAGTTTCTTGTGTTGTGGTGGAAGATAGAGTAGTGTCTCGCCAAATTCGCAGATTGCTCGCTCGTAGTTTCTTCCCCAGCGGCGTTCAAAGCTTGTGTAGCCGTCTGAGTGGATGACGTAGCGATTTACCGCCATGCTGCATGTCGTACTATCCAAGGTAGTAGACAGTGCTTTGTGGACATCGTCATGCTGTAGTTGCTTTCAACTTGAGCTTTGACGACGCGGATTTGTCCGAGAAGTGTTCTATGTAGTCGCTCAACGCTTCCTTGACTGTTGCTGCTGTAGGAAGGTGAATGTCGTACACTCATTGTGCCGACTTTTGCTGCTGTAGCTTTTAGAAGTGCGTTGAGTGTGTCTTCGTTGTCGCTTTGTAGTATGCCTTGTGTTCTTCCGCACTCAAAGATGAATGCTTGTAGGTTGTTGACCATGTAGTCCATCATTGATGCTTTGTCTGGAACCAATACTGCCATACACAGTTGTGTAGTAACATCAACTGCTGTCAGTACCGGTGTGGTCTTTGGGTCTTGTTGTGACTTGATGTAGGCAAAGTCTACTTGAATGACAGGTTGTCGTGATTGTTGTTTCTTGTAGTTGTCTTGGCGTCCTTTGCCTTGAACGCAAATTGGACACCAGTTTCTGTATGGTAGATGTGTAAGGTTGTGTTCTGCTATTTGTTGTGGAGTGGGCTGCTGTGGTTGTCGTAGTCCTCTTGCTCTGTGTGCTTCATGATGCTCGTGTTGTTGTTCTTCATCGTGGTTCTCCTGGATGTACTCGTAGTCTTTCTTCACGGTGAACCTTGTTGTTCCTTTCCATTGAAATGGTAGTGCTGCGTTGCCCATGACTGTCCAGTCATCTTTGCGTTGTGAAACTTCTCCAAAGTTGTTGTGAGTGATTGTAGTTCTGTAAGGTTCAAGTGTGTTGATTGGTGGATGTCCTGGTCCATCTGTTGGAGTGAAGAGAGTTGTTCTAAGCGTTGTGTGGTGTCGTATCCAGTGTTCACCTTGTCTTTCCCAGTAGTCTTGGTTGTCCTCCTGTGCTGTGAGTGGTCTGTGTGTTGTCTCCTTTGGTTGTGCGGTGTCAAGATTTGTTGAAGGTGCTGCTTTGGGTCTCCATATCTTTTGTGGTGCTCGTAGTTGGATCTTTGATCTGGTTGGTGGTGTGTCCATTAGCCGTTGTGGTTGTGAGCTCTGCCTTGTTGGTGTGGTCTTTGATGTTGCTCTGCGTGTAGGTGTTATCTTTCTTCTGAATCTGGTTTCTCCAGTCCAGTTGTCACCTTCTAGTCTTCGTTGTAGTTCTTGCTTGGAAAGTTGTGTTGGGTTCTCTTGTAGTTGTTCTTGCTCTTGCCCTTGTCTGTTGATGATGGTTAGTCTCCAATCATCTAGTTCTCCTTCTGGTATTGGGCAGCCACTGTTGTGTGGTGTGAACAGTGCTTTGCGTGGTCGTTTGTGTACTCTGATGGCGTAGTCACCATCAAGTTTCCAGTAGTCAGTGTTTCCACCAAGGATCTGTCGTAGTCCTTGGTCTGTGTGTGTGAGTGGTGCGATTTGTTCTTGTTGTTGTGCTGCTCTCTCTGTAGGTTGAATCACAGCAATGGATTTTCCATTGTCTGTAGTCATTGGGTAGATGTCGAATCCTGTAGGGATGTCGATCTTCTCTGCTCGTAGGTAGAAAAGTCCTGAGTGTCTTATGAGGTGTGCTTGTTGTTGTCCATGTGTGATGGTGCAGTGTCGTGGAGTGAAGTCAAGTCCATATCCTCTATCAAGTAGTCTTGATGCACTGAGGATTGGATACTTCACATCACAAACGTAGTAGGGTATCATGATCCTGAAGTTGTCCTGCTTGTAGGGAACGTACTTGATGCCGTAGACTGGAATCTTCTTGTTGGTCACCGTGTAGAGTTGTGGAACTGATTCTCCACAGGGTCGTAGTGGAAGATCCGGTGCGTAGTCCTTTGGGCAAACATGTGTAGATGCTCCTGAGTCGATCAACAGGTGGTGGTATGACTTGAAGTTGGAGTACATGATGTAGTGGGTGATAGTGTCCTCAATCTTCTTGTTCCTTTGTTGTTGTCTTGCTGCTGCTATGTCGAAGTGTAGCTTTGTGGTGTCTTCTTGTAGGAATTGTTGAAAGCTCTTGCTGTGGTCGTTCCATGATGTTGTGTGTGTTGTTCTCTTGCCAAGTAGTGATTTGGATTTGTGCTTGTGTAGTCGTGATTTTGCTTGTCTGATGTGTCCAATGGTGAGGTGTGACTCGTTGATGCCTCCAATGTAGTTCGCTGTGTCCTCATAGCTGTTGTCATTCCAATCCCAGCTGTTGTCATAGTCGTAGTCGTTCCAGTTCTCCTCCATGTAGTTCACCTCATGTTGTCCTTCTTCTCCTTCGTAGTACCAGTCCCAAGTGTCGTTCACATCCTGAGGTAGTTCATCATTGTTGTCGTGATCTGCTTGTTCTTGTTCTAGTGGATGTAGTTCTTCTCCTTCTCCTATGTGCCATACCGGCACTCTGCAGTCTTGTGCCCAGTGGCCGGGCTTGCCACATCGATGGCATGTTGTGTAGTTGTTGCTTCCTTTTCCTTTTGATTTGCTGTAGTTTCCTTGGCCTTTGTAGCCTTTGCTTGATCCATATCCTTTGGATCCTGAGTAGCCTTTTCCTTTGCTCTTGTTGTATCCTCCTTTGTTGTAGTTTCCTTTGCTGCCTTTGTCGAATCCTTTGTAGTGTCCTTTACTCCTGTACTTGCCTTTGCTCTTGCTTCCTTTGTAGCCGCCTTTTCCTTTTCCTTTGCCTTTGTAGCTTCTTCCTTTCCTCCATATGTTGTCAACATCCATTGGTGCAGTTCCTCCATTGTAGTTTGTTCCTACTGCTGAAGTAACTCTAGTGAAGGCTGAAATCGTTTTGTAGTAGTCCAGGATGAGTGCTCTGATCTCGATGTAGTTCGTGATCTGTCCAGCTCGCAGTTGGAGGTGTTGCTGCAGTGCTCCTTTGGTTTTGTTGAGTAGTATTGCTATTTTGATTCCATCTGGTAGTGCTGTTCCATTGTCTTTCTCGTAGCGGTTGATGTCGTATTCCCATTGTAGAAATTGTTCTTCAAACTGCGCTTCGTTGAATGTGGGTTCCAGTAGTTTGGTAAGGTAACCAACGCTCCTTGTTCCTACTGGTAGGCTGAACCTGTTGTGCAGTAGTCGTAGTGTTTCACATCCGTTTGCGTTGTAGCGGTTTTGCCTTACTACTGTAGCTGCTGCTCCCTGACAGATGTTGATGAGGATGTAGTGTAGATCTCTGGAGAGGTCTACTGCTTTGCTTGCTTGTGTAGGGTCGAGTATGTGTGTTCTGATGTCTGTGTCCTCAATCTGTCGTGTAGCCACTTGTGCTAGTTGTAGCACCAGGTCGAAGTCTCGGTCTATGAGGCCGAGGTATGCTTGTAGCTTGAACAGCCATTCTTCATACTGGGAGTAGTCACCAGTGAAGAAGGGTGGTGGCAGTTTGTATCTATGTAGTCTCTGAACGTCGTTGTCTTGTTCTGTTCCTGCTCCCGTAGTCGTGGCTCCTACTGTGTCTGCTGTTGGCCCGTTCTCTGCTCCTGTAGTTTGTTGTGCTGAGGCTGATGCTGCTTCTCCTGACATGTCGTAGTAGTTTGGCATGTAGCTGCTGTTGCTGTGGTTGTAGTACTTACTGCTTACTGGAGCTCCCCTATGTTTAGGATCTCAGCTCCGCTACCACGTTAAAATTGGTTGTTACTTTGCTTACAAGTGCAAGTGCTGTAGTGTTCAAACAAACAGTCAACCAATGTAGTCTGCAGCTGCCAACCTTTTGACTCATGCGGAGTAGTAAGCTCAAGGCCTGCGGTAGTGAACATACATGCAACAAGAGTGCAAAGTGAAGCATGTAGTTTCACATCTCTTAACAGCCCCGCAAGAGCGCGACGCACTGTCCCGGACTTCGTAGATTGAGATTTGCAATTGACATGTCAATGTCACAATGCCTTCGTTAACATTGATTTTGAAACGCTAAGTCGAACTCCGGCTTGGACAGGGTCTTGGCTTTTGGAAACTTGACTTACGGACCAAACCAGGAAAACCAACAACGGCTTAAAAGCGCTGAGAATCTTTTTGTTGGTTGTCCCAAAATCGAACCCCAAAATTGGTGATGTCCCCATTTTAAAAAATGATTCCCTTAAAACGGGTAAATTCAACACGAGACACGCCCATATGATTATGTCTTCTTTTGGTGGTACCCCCCTGTTTTCTGGGTTTCCTTTTTACGGGAAACCAAAGGACAACCCCTCATTTTGGAAACACAAAACGACAAACCGACCCACCTGGCGAACCTGGTCCAGGCCCTCCAGTAGAGAGGTTAGATTTTTTTGGTACCCACTTTTTCTGTGGTCTATTTGGTAGTTCAAGGGTTTCTTTGAACCCCGCTCAAAGGCAGGCAGCGAGTTGCTAGGAATTGGTTGCTAACCTTGCGCAGCTTCCTTCCATGGAGTTGTATGCAACCAAGCCAATTCTTAGCCTCACACTCCAAGCAACTTGCATTATGTTCGTTGACACTCAGCTCTTTTTCTCAGAGCTTGCCAAAGCAGCAAACAAATCCTGAGCCCTCAATCACCACGACGCTCCGTATAGACCGACTTGCCAAGGAACCGACTCAGCGACCATGCGGCGAGCCAGCTTGCCATGGGCTTGGCGGTGTGGCGCTTCCTTTTTGTAGATCTGGCGCGGTGCGAGAAGTCAACAGAAGCGCGCAACATCCGCAAACGCAACGCTCCCAAACCTGAAGTCTCTAGGTTCGAAGGGGCCTTTATGAGCTCATTCTAGCTGAATGAGACAGCCCATGAAAATTGGGCGTCTCTCTTTCTCTTCTTTCGTCCACTCCCCCCAAAGGGCAGCTTCAAAGACAACCATGCACCCAATTAGCGGAAATCGCCAGGCCTCATCATAGCAGCTATCCTCCGGTGCGCACACGGGATACTCCATGAGCCCATACCGCACCTGCCAAACATCGCTTGCTGGACGATGCGGGGGTCTTTGGCGTTTAAATTGAAGGCAAACGAAGAGAACCATTGACGGTGTTTCGATTGAACGCGACACAAGGGTGAAACCAGCCATTTTGAAGGGGTTTGGAATGGTGTTCCAAGGGGGGCCAAAAGGCAAACAACGTTTTAGGGCCAGCCCCATTTCGAGCGCACTCATATCAGAGGAAAGTGAAATGCAGATTATCAGCCTGGCCAATTCACAATACTTTTCAGACAAATCCTTTCTCAACTCTCTACGAAACACTTTATTGTGCCCTTGCGCGCAGGAACAAGCCGCACCAAACCATGCTTTGTTCAAGCATGGCGTGATGTGTCAATGGAGAGAGGTCCAGTAAACGCAACCACATACACACACACACACACTCACACACACACACGAAAACCAAAAACCTGATCATGACGTAGCGAGATATTGAAGTGTACCGTTGAGTGCTGCAGCAAGCTCAGAATCTGCAGGGCCGATGGGCATTCAGAGGCGAGAGTGTGCTTTGGAGCCGTGATGTTGTCCAAAGGTTACGGCCTGTGGAAAACAAATGCATCATGAAGTGAACAACAAGCCACACTTGGCACCAATAATCCATTGGCCTGACATGGGAAACCTCAAGAGAAGAACCTTTCTTGTTTGTCTCTGTGCAGGGATCATCGCCCCTATCCCCTTGGGAAATTTGGACAGGGAATCCTGGGTGAAAGAAACCATCGGGGAACCATCCTGTAGAATCACAAGCTGTGTACCGACCAACTCATGAACGTAAAAACCAGCTTCCTATCCCCTGCTTACATCGAATGATCCTGCCCAAGGGCACCATGATGTGTTTGGCAAATTCTGAATACAGTAACTCTTCTCCGTCCTCTTAGATGTGCAGCCCACCTGTAGCAAGGTTTCAAAAATACAACCTACAGGAAACAGTCCTGCATTGTCCCAGTCAAACAACCATGGGTAAAAGAACAGCCGCACCAACTCAATTGCTTGGAGATCCAAGTTGCGCTCCACCCTCCCAACTCCTAGGCCCCCAGGCCACTGGGGTCAGAATCCGTGTGGCCATCTGCTGAAGCTTCTCAGAAGATAAGGTGGCCAGGTTCTCTTCGGTAAAGTACGCCTCAGTGACTCAAGTCAAGCAAAACCTGTTGGACCCGGTGCTTGGGCCCAAACGGGCCAAAGACTAGGAAACCACCCAACACAAAAAAGGAGTACCCTCGAACAAAAACACCCCCGCCCCCACACCCCCCAGCACCCTGCTAGTGTTAGAAGACAAGCTACAGCCCCCCCCCCCCCCCACCTTGTTCATGGGGTTCCCCTCGCAGGAGTTGCCAGGCATCTCCTGGTCCAGGCCTCAAGCAGTTTTGCAAAGTCCCAGTATCTATATCTGTGTATACATAGGTATATAGACATGTGCAGATGGTCAGGCCCCCCCACCCATGATCTACCCTTTGCTTTTTGAAGTCAATTCACATACGTATGTCTAGTGTATTGATACTGCGCAGTTTGAAATGCCAGACTGCCTACGTATACATCTATAAGTTATATAAGCAAACTACATAGGTACACAATACCATTGATCAAGCCAAGTCTATGTGCATAGTTGTTTTTGCATCAAACGATGTCTGCTATTCCAGAATGCCAAAGAGACCCTCGCTCAGCCCGCAACTCGCGTTTCCACAAGCAAAGGCTAGCAAGTAGAGCAGGAACGAATAGTAAACCCATCATTTGGATGAGCCCCCCTTTCTTTTGGGAATGCATTCCTCAGCTTCCTCAGTTGCAGCTCTCAGGTAGGCCGACTCTTTGTCCTTCGGTTCCGCGCCAACGAGACGCCCACCCAGTGGCCCTCATGGTCCAACGCCCCTCAGGGTCTGTAGGAATACCTCAGCTTGAGAAACAGACCGAACGCTGGCACCGTTTGGCGAAGAGGCAACGTGCCTTTTTGTTCAGCAGCCTTTAGCTGTGGCTTGCGAACTCATCCAACCCGGACAAGGTGGAAGTCGAACCCCCGGCCTCAAACATGTGTAGGTGGGCGCCCTACCGACCCTCGTTTTGTATATCAATTTTCCAGATTATCATGGGAAAAGGCTTAAAAAATGGTGCGCGCAATCTTCGGTATGATGTTCTGCAAGCTTCAAGCGCGCCCTGGTCCAAACGTACGGCCCCTTTTCAAATATATCCCTTCTCACCCCCCTCCCCCCCCCCGCTGCCCGGCGCCTTGTTCCGCGGAGAAGTTGTGAAGGGCCCACCAGTCGCTCATCACCCAGCCCTGGTACCCCATTGCGTCACGGAGGTGCTGCTGGAGGATCACCTGAGCGCGGAGCCACAGAGCCATGGACCCACGTAGCCCGCTTTGTTGGTCGCGGACATGCAGGTTGGCACACACAGACACACACGCACACACACACACACATGGAATCTCCGGGTACTCGACTGAAAAGAGCAAAATGAAGCCTGGATCTGACACAACCAAACGTATAACCTGCACCCGAACCATCCCAGTAGGGGATGTGTCAGCTTGCCCTGTCAGCCCCTTGAGCTCTGGCAAAGGCAAAGAGCCTCAAGGGGCAAGTCGATCCGGAGCGGCCCGAAAAGATATGGTCGGCAAGGCCCGAGAGCAAGCGGGGGGTTTTACTACCTGCTTCAATTCGAAAGTAAAACGTGTATAAACTATAGCCGCCAACAGCCATCTTAGTAGCACCAACCGTCCAAAGGTTTTGGGCACTCAGATGGGGGTTCGCAGCGAGGCCGCACTACCGGCCGCCGCCGGCCTGGCCTTACCCGCCACCGGCCTACGGGCGAGCCCCCCTCGCCTTCTCGCCGGCCGGCCGAACGCCCCGTTCGGGCGAGATAGGGAATCCAAGTGATGCTGATAAATCCCTTTGAAGTTGATTTTTTTTTGGGGATCTCTTTCCCTCTGACTTTATATATGTTCAGGAGTCGATCCTATTTGCAGCTGCAAAAGGCAACGCAAAGTACTCTCTGGAAAACGGTTTGGTGGAATTCATTTCACCTGTTCTTCCCCTTGTGGGTTCTTTTTAGTACTCTTTGAACGTCCTACAGGGGCGCATCCACAACAATCGCATCCGCACCGTTTCCTGGATACTCATGTGGTCCAGGTCTTTCAGCGAGTAACCAATCACGTTGGCAGCCGTTCCCTTGCCCGACGAAAGGATCGCAAGCGGAACAAGGCAGGCCTTGCGATTCAGTATCGCCAAGTGCCCAGAGCCACTTCTCCAGACCAAAGGTGGTTGTTGAGATTTTCAAAGGCTGCCTTTGGGAAGGGGATCTTGCGGGTTATCTGCTTGCTCGGGAATTGATGGACACCCTCCCAAGACTAGACAGGTTCGGCAAATGGCCATGGCCGAAGGCCAAGGATCGAATCTTCTCATGAAGGAGTCCATGCCAACGGCTGGAACCAATGTGTCAAAGAGGCGCCGCAGAACTGGACAGAAACACCGGCGGGTCAAGGATAACCAATCACCTCTCATGGGCTTCGATGGGGTGGCTGAAGCCAGATTGAATTCTCAAATAGGTCGGCACATATTCGCAGCTCCGAGGTCCACATTGTGAAGACAGCCCCAGATTGTACAGGGCTTTGCTGCAATAGAACCAGCAGGGACCAAACAAGCAAGATGGGTGGGAAGCAAACCATCAGCACATCACAATCACGGAGCCAGACCTTGTGACAAGCTTTGTGAAGAAAATGCCGCCACGGCGCAGAGTTGCTGCAAGCATGTGCACCTGAGAGCGGTCTACTCATGTGAGACCATCCCCAAAGCCGTCAAGGACCTGGAATCTATTTGACACATCGTGCTTTGAGACAATAGGACATAATAGAACTTAAGCGGGTACCGCAAGCGCTCAGGAGTTCGATTACGCCGAAACCAAGTTTCGGCACCTGTTCTTGCCAGGGGCATGCCAAGCACAGTCCCAAAGCCGGAGCGGCTATTCGGTTTTTGGAGCCTCAGCTTCTTCCCTCCCACACGCATGGAGTGAGGGTTTGTGGAGGCCTGGAGGTCACTTTCCTCTTACAGCGACACCCGCTCGGGTTTCATGTTTGCACGGGTCCCAACATTTTCCGCCGCGAATGACAGCAACTGGAAGCAGGGCGATCGCCTGCATCGACATCGTAAGGACAAGCGGCCGCTCGAATCAGTTCAGATTTGCACAAGGGCATGACAGGTGAAGTGACCCAAAAACCTTATACGCGCATCGCACTGCAGACCAGGCCACCATTCACCAGGTTGTAGGAGCACATTGCGGAGAGGCAGCCTGGAAACGGCGCGACTGAAGGAAGGGCAGAAAGCAGAGCAAGATCAACTTAGTAATAGTACGGACAGTCCTGATTTAACCAGCTTGGGACCCACTAACGTATCAGTGTGACGGCTCATGTTCTTGGTAAGCTGCATGCAAAGTGGCCAGGAGCATCACAACCTGAAGTCCCGATTTCAACTGCGTTTCTAGCTCAACTTCCTTGCCTTCTTAGGCTAGCGCACCTTGGCTTTTTTTTCTCCCCTTTCCCGGGGAGTCCAACGACAAATGCATGACGTCTGCGTCGTGGCCTGCGTCGATGGCCGCCTGGAAGGGGGGGTAATACACCTCGAAGAGCGCGCGCTCCTCGATCTTCGGGTCCACAAAGCTCCCTGGGCTTCGGAGCCGGGGTTTTTGGAACGAGGGGCGCGCGGAAAGAAACCGACACGGACCCTGCCAGTTATAAGCGATGCCAAGAAAGGAAATGGGTTTCTCCAGAAGGTTTCCCTCAGGTTCAAGTTGTTGTCTTCAAGCACTCCTTGGCTGAGCTTCTGGGCAACGCCCGGTGGATTGCGGACATTCGATGGGATTGCTGGCTCTCGGCTGCTTGTGTCGTGCATGGCGCGGATTTCATCTCAAATGGCCCCGACTCCAGTCAGCAATCATTGGCTCGACCCCACCGCTTAGACTGGGTTCCTCTCGAAGCTTTCGGACAATCAAAGCCAGCCTGGACCTTTAAGGTAGGCCCTAGAAACACAATTGTGCCAGCGCCAGCCGTCCCTTCTTAACAATCATGGAAGTGGACCACATTGGATCTTGTCGTAAAATGTGATACACCTGCAATTCGGGGCCTGAAATAAGGGATGCCCAGGCAACGGACCTTAACCATAGTGAGCTCGTTCCCCGCTCGCCGGGACGGCAAATAACACAATATGCTCACATGGAAGAGTGCAAGGTCAAGGGTCATGTGCCCACTGAGGGACTTTGTGGGATGAGGCTTTTGCGCTTTGCACCCCACATCGACAACATCAGCAATTACGTGGGCCCCTCATGACTGAGCCCTTTGGCAAGCCACGCATGGTCTCCTGGCTGTTGGCGATGAAGTGCTTCATAACAGTGACTACCTCAGGTGAAAGGGCGCGCTCTGCTTGCCAGCTTGAAAGTGCCCGCCGCGCTGGACATGCCACACACCCGGAAAACGAGTGCTTGGGGCCGCTGGATCGATGCAAATCCGATGAATCCGTCCATGTGTGTCAGCGTGATGCATCAGACCATATGCGTTCAGTCATCTTTTATGGTTGGGACTGAATTTAACTGGTGGTTCATGCCATGCCAAAAGGGCCGCGCCCGCACAGCCACGCCACGTGCTTGGAGTGCACTCCCTTGATGTAGCCCTGGACTAGCTCAGCGCCCAAATAGCCCGACTCCCCAGAGAGGTACTCCACCTGAGAAAGGCGGATGCAACAGCTCCCATGCCTCCAAAACACCTGAGATCCTCTGATGTCGTTGAGACGTCGAAAAATGTTCCTTGTCATCATCATCATCATCATCATCATCATCATCATCATCATCATCATCATCATCACCATCACCATCACCATCACCATCACCATCACCATCATCATCATCATCATCGTCATCGTCATCGTCATCGTCATCGTCATCGTCATCATCATCATCCTCCTCATCCTCATCATCCTCATCATCCTCATCATCATCATCACGCCCTATTTCCGGCCAAGCAAGTCCGAAGCGCAGTCATGCTATAAGCTACCACACGCAGCTGAAGAAAGCCTTGTTGCTAGAGCCACCGTTGTTCTACCTCTTGCTACCCAGCATGCTCCAACAACCAAGAAAACTTGGTCAGGACTATAAGAGTCAACCGTTAGTGAGTATATATTGAGCCGCTTCTGTCTTGTAGTGACCTCAAGCTCCCTACCACAGCGCATGCTTGACCTTGCCACATGTTCAACTCAATTGGGCACGTGTGCTGAAGGTATTGTCCAACCACAAGATATCCCAACGGACCCAAGTCTTGTCGAATTGCGGCAATCCGTTTCGGACAAGGCAATACTGCCAGGACATACCAGGAATCGACCTCCTTTAGGTGACGAGCTCTTAGCTCTTGTTGACAAAAGCGGCAAACATCATTTTCTCGAGTTCTCCAGCCTTCTGCCCATCCACTTGGTAAGCTTGGCACGCAGTGCTCTGCGCCGTGCTGAAACTGCATTGAACCCTTTATGGGGGTCCTCCAGGCTATGGGTCTCCTCAAATCGGTCTCCTTTTGGCTACCCCGTTAACCAACCCCTTTTCAGATCACCTTAGCCCCAGTTGGTAGTTTGGTGTGGTAGGTACCAGCTTCGAAGGAAATGTGGCTCCAAAGCCCAAACTACAAACTACTTGTCCAACCTACCAGCTGGGTGGCCCGACTTCAACCCAACCCTGTTTAAGAGTCAACAAAACATACACAATCATCTGGGCATGTGTCGAAGTATGTTTTAGCCTTAAACAAAACCAAGCAGCGAGAACGACGTACACCGATTTAAGGCATGCGGGACCCCTTACAACATGCAAACATGGTGGTGTCCTTTTGGTTTCCCTTGAAACCCGCCCCCCAACCCTGGAACCCTGCACCTTCAAACAAAGAGAAAGAAAACAAAGAAAGCAACAGGAAACACACATACACAGACACACACACACACACAAAAAAAAAAAAAAACGACATGTCTCGAGCGCCCGGCGTTGCGGCCGTTGCGGGCCACCCGGTGGACATTGAGCCCAGGGCCCAGCAGTACGTTGGCCCCCTTGCCATGGAACTCCTCCCCCAGCGCCTCCGAACTCGTCGCGTGGGCCGAAATTCCTTTTATGGCTTTGGTGGGGGGGTGGGGAGGGGAGAGGGGGGTGGGTGGGGGGGGTGGGTGGGGGTGAGACAGGGAGGGGTGGGGGTGAGACAGGGAGGGGTGGGGGGGGGGGCCAAATTCCAGAGTCCTCAGAAAAGGGAGCAGGGAAGTCCAAATAAACTGAAATTCCAGAGCCTCCCTTCTCCCTTCCAGCCTCAGGGGGTGGGGATTGGTTCGATAGGCAGGGAGTGAGAAGTTGAACCAAGAAGAACCATCCCCGATTTCACTTCCTTTCACTTTCAGGGAATCGAACTTGGTTCATTCCCAAGCCCTGGGGCAAATTTATTCAGTACCAGCAACATGGGAAACAACTTGACAGTTTAGCTCGCTTCCTCGGCTTTCCCCTAAGAAAAACCAAGACTTTCTTCGCAAGTAGTGTCAAGTCCAGGAACTCAGGGAGTGAGTACTGATTCAAAGGCAAACCGCTGGGAACAGAGTTTCGGGCTTCCTCTATTTTGACACTTGATGGCAACCCCGGATGAAACCCGTATACTAAGGGGCGTTGCCCAAAAAAGTGATCCGGATTCCCAGTAGAAGGGCGCACCCCCGATTTAATCAAGCAGTTTATGACCGCGACTCGGAGGGGCCCCCAGACCCAGCGGCCAAGGGCAGCCAGAAGGGCAAGGAGAAACCTCCGCGAACCGCAGGGCATGACATGTGGCAAACCTATGCCTATGGAAACGAAGGACTTGGGCGTGGATGGTAGTCTTCACGGGCTAAAGGAGACCCGAATCGGATCATAGAATTTCGGGGTCCAGAGCCTTTCACACTCCATACAAATTACCCCGCACGCCGGATTCCGAATAAACACAGACTCAATTTAGAAACAAAGGGACAACATATGCTACCGGAAGGTCCATGAACCCAATCCAAGGCTACCATGAGCTCATGTCACCCAAGTGGGGTCTGAACTTCCTTTTGTTTTTTGCCCTCCCTGAAGATTTCCTTCATTTTTGTGATTCGGGCACGAGCCTGTGCCCAGGCAATGGGTAAGTTGGGGTAAACAAGCCACAAAAGAAAGGTTCCCCAAAAGCAAACCAATCCCCGGTCCCAAAGATCAGGGTTTCCCACACACCAGAGAACAACAACCAAAAGGGAAATACCAAAACAAGTAAACAAGTACCCGCAACCTTGATCGACGATGAACCGCACGGGCGGACCCCACCAATCTGCCCCGGGCCGATGTCTCTTTCTCCACCGACACGAAGGTGATCGACGCGGGGACCCGGCGACGCTCATCCGAGGCGCGACGCAAACTTGAGCCAAACATCACAGGTCAGTCACTACCGCGACATCCCTGTTGATGAAATGAATCATGGCTAATCACACCCCCCTCACGAGGAGCCCGTCATATGACGGGTGGAGCGTGCCATTTACTGATAGGATTTAACTGCTCGCATGCGTCCGCAAACAGCTGGACACTACCGCCGTCAGCGGTGGAGCAAACCCACAAAGGCAGTTGCGCGACATCCCGGGCATTAAATTCCCGCCACCACCCCGAATTAATCGGGGTAACGCTGTCCAACATACCTTGTGGAAAAGTCCACGTGACGACACTAGGCCACAACTGTTTGCATCAACAATGCAAGAAGTTTAATTCTTATCAGAAGCCATGAAATAAAAGATAACGTATGTCCATTAGTACCCTCGCCTATCGGCAAGAGGTACTCCTGACCATGCGCACCTGAAAAATGCTTGAATTCCGCAAGCCCGGGAGTAACCCCCCATCAGTTTGCTTTCCCTCTCACTCACACTGCTTCCTGATGAACACGACCAGCAGCCCAGCAGCGGTATGGGAGAGACATGATCTCCGCGCCTCAGCGGTTCGGGAGGAACATTACCACCTCCGCACCGCGCCGACCATTGGAGAATGGACGCAAGCCTATCGGCCGCAATCCTCGTGACTCAGCCTATCGGCTATCGTCACGTCTCCTCCGGTCACGTCCGCCCCGCGCACGGTCCCTATCACGATCCCTTTCGGATCTCCTGCGATCATCTCGCCTTCGTTCTCGCTCCCGATCGAGTGAATCACCATCACGACGATCACGAGCATCGTCCCTCCTCCGGTCGCGATCATCCTCGCGCCGCGGACGGTATCTGCGCCTTCTCGACTCTCTGGAATCCCTGGTGTCCACGGTCCTAACGGACCTCCGAGAAGGAGTGCGGGAAACGTCCGATTCCCTACGCCTCCTCCCAGAGCGAGAGTTCGTCACGATCTGGTTGAGGGCCTCCAGTGCTGACGCGTCCTCACCATTTCTGATGAAATCCCTGACTTGCTTGTTCAGCACTCTGTTGGTGGAGACTGACAAGAGAGCGTCCACCACCGAACTCTCAGGCAGCACCAGGAAGTGACCCTCCACCGGGCTCGCCGCAGTTCGCTCAGCCGACTGCAACCTGATCTCACCGCCTTCACTCTTCTTTGCCATTGCCTTGGAGGCCGTCAGAGGCGCTACCGCGTCCTTTGCCGAAGACCTACCAAGCGCAGAGTGAAGATCATCTCCACTAGCCTCTCTTGCTGCCGCACCTGGTCTGCTGTCAACGTCATCAGGCCTCGTCGATGCCTCTCGCTTCGTCGACTCCTTCACAGTCTCGTCAGGATCCCAACGGGACTTCCTTTCTCTCTTCTGCCCTTCAGCCGACCCCCGACTACCGCCAGGAGCGTCGTCTCCGCCTACCTTCTCCTTCTTGACCTCAACCTTCGGTTCGGCCTGCTTCGTTTCCTTAGCCTCAGCCTTCGGAGCCGGAGCACTCTTCGCCTCAGAAACCGAAGCTGCTTTCCCTTTGGCTCGGCCTTTGGAACCGGAGTCATTTTAGCCTTCGCACTCGGCCGGGCTCCTTCAACCGCTATCGCGACCCAAGTTTTCTTTTGCTGAGCTGCAGTTGCATCAACCTCCATCGGAGCCGGCCCAGCATCACCCTTTGCTTTTGCCTGTGGGACAGATGGACTATCGCCCTTACCGGATCCTTTTCCTGGCACTTCACCCGACTTTGGTGGTGGGCCGGAAGGACTACCGCCCTTACCGCCCTTTTCTCCCTTCTTCCCTTTTCCTTTTCCGCCCTTGACGATCGGCTCCTGCTTAGGACCAGGACCCTGCGCAGTATGATGCACCGATTGAAGCCCTTCGATGTTCACGTCCAAAGGCTCCGGTTGACGACCATCAAGAACCGTCCTCACCCTTTCGTCACGAACGTAGACGCATGGGTCGCGGAAGGGGGCGGGAGGCTCCGACTGCCCGGCACTGATTGCCTTCTGCACCTTGGCTATCGCCTCCTTCAATCTCTTCTTCTCATCGTACCCTGTCTCTGATACCATGTATTTCCTGATATCCGATATCAACGCATGACTGGCCAGGATGTCCACGTCCTTCCGATGGGTCGGATACAATGGAGTCAGATGCCCCGCCGCGGGGCCAATCACGTACGCCATCGGGATATAGAAGGACAAGTACGTGTCATGGCGAGCGAACTTCCTAACGGAAGTCGTCATACGCCTACCCACTGAGCAGCATGCACCGGGTTAGCTCGGAAGTACTCAGTGACCGAATCAAATCTATCGACTTGGTTGGTCTTAATCAGGTGCTTCGCCACCCACTTCTCCACGAACGCATCCGAGGCCGAAATCCCCGACACATAGGAGAATTGGAAGAGCACCTTCGCCAGCTCATCCCACGCCGTATCGACTCCTCCCTTGTCCTCACCAAGATAAGGGGGCAGTCTGATGCCGCTCTGCACCGTCATCCTCAGGTCAGACGCCATCGAATAGGAAATCAAGTTCCTCTTGATAACTCCGACCACTTCGGATGGGATCCTCTTGGGCTTGAACTGCCTCATGCTCCTCACCCACTCCGGGACGATGCGGCACCTCTCGAAGTCACTTTCGTCCGCGTTGGGGATGAAGTTTGGGTAGAAGACCGGGAGCGCACACCCAGGGCACAAGTGCATCCCATTTGGCGTCATCTCCGCGCACCTCAAACAAAACGTGGTGGTCACATTCAACCTGACCTCTTCACGCGATCGCTTGTGCTCTCCCCTATCGGGGGTAAGGTCACCATAGTCCCATGCCCGATGATACACTATCGTGTAGTCACCCTGAGCATCGGCTATTGATTGTAATCAACAGAAACCAATGTTTTCTTATTGATATTGATTTGAGGTGTTTTTATTGAAAAAATCAATTGGCTATTGATTTTTTTCTTATTGATTAGTTTTTGCAGTTTTATTGATTTTTATATTGATTTTCATATTGATTTAGCTATTGATTGTGGTTGTGCTTGCCCTATTGGCTTTTTCTTGGGCACCCATGCTTCTTATACTTGGCAGCTTTGATGTATATGGTGGCTCAAGCCTGTGGGTTTAGGGTGCCGCTATCCAACCCCCTTGCTAAAAGGGGCATTATCCTTCACGGAGGGAGCAATTGTGGCAGGGTTCCCTTGACAAAAGGGTTCTGATCTACCCCCTTGACAAAAGGGCTTGCCAACATGGGCAAAGGTGGGGCCAGGCACTTCAGCAAACCCCAAGTTGATATTGGAATTTTGGTGAGGGTACTGCAGTGCCATTCCCACCTTCTGGCAAGCCTGGGGGTTTATGAAACAATCTCTAGGTCACAGGCCTGCCACCCTGCAGGCTTGATGCATGTGCTGGAACTGGTAAAATGCATTGTGGAAGCAGAGCCCACCTGTGAAATCCACCAGGGAAACTTGAGAGGTGCAATCTATACTGTGTATCAATCAGACCCATCGATCAACAATTCCAAATTCAATGGGCAAGTTTGGGTTGGCCTCAAGCTGGAAAGGCTGAATGTTATTTTGGCCCATTTTCGGCGGCTCAAATCTCCAGAAAGCATGAGACTCTGTGCTTCTAAGTTGACCAGTGTTGAGTACCTCAAGTTGCAGGAGGTTGTCAACATGATTGAGAAGAAAAGCAATGACCAA